TATATATAGGGAAGGGTTATTTGGAAAACAAAAACCCTAAAAAAAACTCTAAAAATCATAAAAATACATAAAAAAATACTTAGAGATCACAAAACTTTTTTTTGAATTTTTTTTTAAAAAATTGCAGCTTTCTATATAAATTCGTTGATTTTTTTTAGCGAATTTTAAGAAAAAGCTGTGATTTTTTATAAAAAAAATTCAAAAAAAAGTTTTGTGATCTCTAAGTATTTTTTTATGCAATTTTTTGATTTTTAGGGTTTTTTGTTTCCATATATATATATATATATATATATATATATATATATATATATATATATATGTATATATATATATATATATATATATATATATATATGGAGAATTTCATGTAAACCCTTATTAAACGTCAAAATATCATATTTACCCAAAATAATTTCTAAATATCAAATTTACACTTCTTTAACGTTAAATATCATATTTGCCCAAACCTATATAGACCATATTTCCCTTACCTTCCAAATTTCAAGAACCCTTTACTCAGCATACGATGCGATCACACCAGATAATTTGGGTGTAAATATCTCAAAAGGGAAGAAAAAGGTTGAAGAATGTTCAATTAATTAATTTACAAACCACGCTTTATACATAGGTTAAAAGATACATCACATTGGTTTTTGTTCGGAGTTTATCCTTGGTGCTTCATTGTGGTTACTAAAGCTATAGGTCCTCTCTTTTACTTGGTCCATTTTACTATCAAGGGAATGATCAAAAACTAGTGATAGAGAATTTCATATAATAGGCCTTGGATGAGTATCGGATTCTAAGAGGTCCTGCGATTTAAAAAAGTAGGGTAATATGACTATGTAGTTAAGTTTTTCAATTTTAATGATTTTAAATAATAAAAAAATTTTAAAAAAATAGATTTGGGTAAATATGATATTTTAAAAATAGGTCGGGCAAATATGATATTTTGACGTTTAATAAGGGTATATACGAAATTCTTATATATATATATATATATATATATATATATATATATATATATATATATATATATAAATTAAGCGTAATTATTGTAACTTTAAACCAAACCAAACTAGTAATTCTGATAAGAACTTTAATTGAGAAGAAAGAATATTTAGAGACAATATGAAAGTTATATTACATATGAAAGTGTAACTTTAGGTGTGTTTCATCATTTACAATGGATGTGTATTTATACTACAAATTTTACGATTCATAATCTACCTATAATTGTAACTAGTTATAAATATTGACAAATTTATCATGCATCAATTATTATGTCATCCACAAATTATTTACAACACTCCCACTTGGATGACATTATTTCAAATTTAGCGTTTAACTTTTATGTACTACCTCAATAAAAACCTTACTAAAGAAAATTCAGTGGGAAAAAACGTTAGCTAAGGGAAAAAGAGTGTAGTGTATAGTTGACTCCCCCTTATTTATAAATCTGTTACATTATATTATATGCAAATGTCGCATTCCAATGTCATGGACATGTTTCCTGAAGATTGCAGTAGGAAGTGCCTTCGTAGAAGGTCTGCTACATTGTTGATGGATTGAACATATTTTATTTTAACTTGATGGTCCTTTATAAGCTCTTGAGTGTACCTGTCATGTCGCTCTTGATATATCCTTCTTTCATTTGAGTGAGACACGCTGAGTTATCTTCATAAATTAAATTTGGACCTATATCATTTTCAAGGCCACATGAAGTTAAAACTAGCTGTGTTGTCAATCTTAACCATGCACATTCTCTACTAGATTCATTTAGTGCAATTACTTCAACATGATTTGAGGATGTGGCAACAATTGTTTTCTTTTGAGAACGCCAGGAAATTACAGTACCTCCATTCATGAATATGTATCCATTTTGAAATCTAGCTTTATGAGGATCAGACAAATAACATGCATCTGCATAACTAATCAAGCCTTGTTTTGAATTGTTAGGATAAAATAACCCTAAATCACTAGTTTCTCGAAGGTATCGAAAAATATGTTTGATCCCATTCCAATGTCTTTTTGTTGGGGATGAACTAAACCTTGTTAGCAAGTTTACAGCGAAAGAAATGTCAGGTCTAGTACAATCGGTAAGATACATAAGAGCTCCAATTGTATTTAGATATGGAACTCCTGGACCAAGGACTTCTTCATTTTCTTCGCATGGACAAAATGGATCATTGTCAATATTTAATGATCTAACAACCATTGGAGTGATGAAAGTATTCGCATTGTCCATATTGAAACATTTCAAGATTCTTTCTGTGTAATTTGATTGATGCACAAGTATTCCATTAGGCATATGCTCAATCTGCAAACCAAGACAGTATTTGGTTTGTCCAAGATCTTTCATATCAAATTCTTTCTTTAAAATTTCAATCACTTCAAGAATTTCTTTATTCGTTCCAATGATGTCTAGATCATTAACATAAACCGCTATGATCACATACTCAGATGTTGTCTTCTTAATAAATACATATGGACAAAAAGTGTTATTTTTGTAACCTTTACTTGTCAAATAATCGCTTAAACGATTGTACCACATGCGTCTAGATTGCTTTAACTCACTCAATGATCTTTGCAATTTTATAGAATACATTTCTTTGGGTTTTGTACTTAATGCTTCAGGCATTTTAAATCCTTCAAGCATTTTCATATATATATATATATATATATATATATATATATATATATATATATATATATATATATATATATATATATATATATATATATATATCACTATCAAGTGATCCATACAAGTAAGTTGTAACAACATCCATAAGACACATCTCTAAATTTTCAGAGACCGCCAAGCTAATTAAATATCTAAAAGTGGTTTCATCCATTACCGGTGAATAAGTATCCTCATAATCAGTTTCAGGTCTTTGAGAGAAACCTTGAGCAACAAGCCTGGTCTGTAGCTTAAAATTTTGTCTTTCTCATTTCTTTTTCATACGAAGATCCATTTATACCCTAATGGTTTCACAACTCCAGGTGTGAGGATATGGTCCCAAAAACCTTCTCTTGTTAAGGGAATTTAATTCAACTTGCATAGCATCATTCCATTTAGCCTAATCATTTCTTCTTTGACATTCAATGACAGATTGTGGTTCGGGATCATCTTTTATAATATCACATGGAACTGAATACGAAAATATTGCACTTATATTGTCAGTTTCATTTTGTTCACATATTCTATTCGTTTGACCATAATTTAGTACAACATCCTCCTTTCCTGGGGTAATCTTGATAATTCGTGTTTCTCTAGGAACACTTTCCTCATGATCTAGTGCATTTTCTACTCATCTTCTTTTTTGTGGGTTCTTATCCTTAGAACCAAATGGCCTTCCATGCTTCAGGCGTGTTTTAGACTCTTGAGTGACTTTATCATCAGATTGTCCATATGGAATTTCAATTTGAGCTGGATCATTGACAACAAGTATATATGATTTAGTCACCCTTTCTGTGTCAGTAAATACGTCAAGCAATTGATTTTCCATTTCTTGGAAATGAATTATATTTTGAACTTCCATTTCACATTCCTTTGTGTGAGGGTCAAGATATGATAAAGAAGGCTCATTCCATGAAACATCCTTTTCTAGAATCTTCTCTTCTCCCCATAATGATGGGAAATTTTTCTCATCAATTTGTCAATCAGCTAGGCGTGCTATAAAAACATCACAAGTTAATGGTTCAACCAGTGTTGTAAAACTCGTCGAGTTGGCCTATTACTCCTCCGAGTACTCGCTACTCGGCCCTTTACCAAGGCGAGTTACAGAATCCTGAGTACTTCCTGATCGACCCTTTACTGAACTGAGCATTGTTGTAGAAGTCGGTCAAATCGGTGACTAATATGTATAATATACTTAATGATTTATTATTTAACACACACATGTGATTATTACTACATATATATCTTAAATTTTCAGTAATTATTCACGAAGTGAGACCATTATGTGTTTTTCAATTTTTGTGTATTCACACTTATCTAATTTTGCTTTATATTTCAATCAAATTATGATTTTAACTTATGATTTTGACATATATAATTGTTGGGTTTTGTATACTACAACATCCTATGGTGCACATACAACCCTAAATGCTTTGGATCTATGTTTTCTCTAATTATACATGTAATATTGTTTCCAAAGCATTAAGACTACAACTAGCATGCAATTGACATAAACAACATAAAATACTAGTTAGGAGTTTACCTCTTTATGTAGCTTGTGGAACTTGTTGTATTTGGCCTTTAAGAACTTAGTGCGCCAAATGTTTCACTTCAAATGGTTCACAACACACCTTAGACAAAGGATGACTTTTGAGAGAGTTTATGCACACTACAATTGGTTATGGCTCTCCAAGAACACTCTAGCAAAACTTGTGCAACCAATTTTAGGCTATAGGGTGTCATATATATATATATATATATATATATATATATATATATATATATATAGAGAGGTAAGTTATATTGAGAACACGAAAAAGGTTGAGAACGTGAGAACATTCCATTTTTGTTACTTTTTCAAAATTATGTCCTTAAAATGTAAAATGTTAAAATAGTTTATCTCCTTAATTTATGCAATATTAAATTAGGGTTATTGTTATTTATGCAATATTAAATTAGGGAAGACGATATACTTTTAATTAGACTAATTAGACTGATAACACGTATCCCAATTAATCGTACCTACTTTATTCATCTACAAAATATCCGGCTTATTTCCTTCGATTCGTCTTCTTCCTTTCACCTCTCATTACTTACAATACAGTTCCAAGTTTGGGTTTTTTTTTTGATTATCCGATGATTTGCAAGAATCTTTAAGCTGGAATTGGGGGATCCTTCTACATCAGTTTCTTTCACATTACATATCAATTATCCTGTGGTTTTTGTGATTCGATGATATGCAACCAATGTGACGCTGGAACATTAGGATTCTTCAAGATTACTTGCATTTTATCGTTAAAGATCGTCGATATAAAAGCTTATGGAGGTCGAATTTGAAGGAGGTTATGCAGTCGGGAATCGCACAAGAGGTAAGTTCCTTTTACGTTCACAATTAACCTTTTTTTTAATCATATAACTCGATTTTGTATACTTTGTATACAATGTTTTACATGAGTTTTCAATGTATACTTTCGATTTTGTCAAACGGTTCATGGAAGATTTATGACCTATTTTCTCAACTATATGTTCATTGTTAGCCTTTTTTTTAATCATATAAATCGATTTGCAAAAGCTTGAATGATGTTATTGGGATCACTATGTTGTTAAATTCAACTACAACTCATCGATTGAGATGAGTTTGCCATATAGATGGTCTGATTATGTAAATATTGCCACAGGTCTTATTAGCCCTTATCTCACACTTAGGTGTTACGTGCTAAAGTGTTTGCATTATATTTATTAACCATAGATTCCATTTACATGTATGTTATTTCTGTTTTATTATTATGTTTCAATTTGCATTATGTTAATTTGTGTAGTTAACAGTAAGATTAGAATTATGTATTTGTTATCATGTATGATCTTATTGGCCCTAATTTCATGCTTATGTGTTACATGTTAAATTATTTGCACTACATTTATTCATCATAGATTCCATATAAATGTATGTTATCTATGTTCTATTCATATGTGTCAATTTGCATTATGTTTATGGGGGTAGTTAACAGTAAGATTAGACTTATAATTTTGTTATCATGTATGAACTACAATAGGGCGCATGAAAAGTGAGTGTATCCATAACAGATACTCACTAATGAAATACAAGAATGATCCCTCAAATCCAATAATGATAGATATCGATGTAGATGCATCTGATTCTATCAGGATTACCCCCATACCAACCATCGATAAAGCTGGAGTTCTGACTCAAAGGTCAAGATCCAAACCTGTTTCAACTGTCAAACCAATTCAGAAAGAAGGTAGTTTTTTTTATTATTTTTTGAATTAGTTATCACACTAAAAAGCATATTCTTCATTATTTTTTATTATGCCTCAGTATCAATACAAGGTCTACATTCCGGACATAGTGATTCTGTTGAAGTGCTTCATGAAATTCGTTCAAAGCAGAAATGTGATCCACATTCCAACTCCCTTTCACCTGTGCATGGGTATACAAAATCAGGTAGCTCATTAACACTGTCTTTCTTTAAATTGCTAGTATAATTCATTCATCTTATTTACCGTTGTTTGACTGTTGAATTGTATTTTCCACCCAAAACTACACAAATATTAGAAAAATGTTGTTTACGTCTAAAGAGAAACAGCAGCCATCACGTGATGAATCAGATTTTAAAGACCCACACCTAGTTATCAGCCAAAATAAAAGGAAATCACCTCCACTTGTAACAGCCAAAGTTGTACAACATCAGGAGAAGAAAGCTAGAGCAGATGTGGCCAGCCCTCAAGCAATTAAGACAAAAGTTAAAGTCAAGAAACTGGAGAACAGAAAAGCAAAGAAGGGAGTTCATGTGGGTATTCCAACACAACCAAGGCGAATACATATTCGTACGTCACCAAATTTATTATTCTCCACAATGTACGGTGTGACGAATGGACAGAAGGAGTATTTATCATTCATTGGATTTGGTCCCCTTTTAAATATAAAAGTAGATGGGTCGGCATCACGAATTGGGTACTATGTGGTCAATAACTTTGACCCTGAACGCATGGTATTGAATGTCGATCGGGGTGAGATACCAATCACTAGGCAATTGATACATGACATGTTGGGTCTCCCTGTGGGAAATATCAATATCAATTCAGTAAAGTTCACAGCCGCTGAAGACAAAACTATTGATTTGTGGTCTGCACAGTTCAATTCAGAAAATGATATTAGGCCCAAAGGCGTACAAAGGGCGATAAAGAGATTAAAAGATGTTGGGTTATTGTTTAAAGTCAATTTTTTGGTTCTTATTTGTAACACCCTTAGACAATCCAAGAGCATGGGCACATGTGATGTATCAATGCTTTCAAGGGTTTCAGAGGATTTTGATTTAAGTGACATAGATTGGTGTTCATACGTGTTAGAGTGTTTGAAAAATACAAAACATGCATGGAATTCGATGAGCGATACATCTTACTATGTTGGCCCTATTGTCCTATTGACAGTACCTATCCTACAACCTAACTTACTACATTAATTCTACTTATTTATTATTGACTTAGTCACTGATGATTACACTACCACATCGGTAACGACTAATTGACTACTCATTGATCACTAATGATTTACTTATATTTTTTTTATCATATAAGCTTATATACCTGGAGCATGTTTCATGTGATGCGGTTACGATCGATCGTGGAAGACCTGCTATATGTTTATGGGATGTGGAAACCATGCGGTTACGTGAGGAGTATGAAATCAGAAATGGTGGAATTGGTTCTGGTGAACTTCAGGATCCTTACATACCACAGGATGACAATGCTGAAAATGTCAACTCGGCGAATGGATCAGTTGAGGTTAGAAAATTTCCTCATCATTTTTTCATATTTATCACATATTACTAATCATTCATAATGTTTTCAGGAATACCTTTCCACCATTGAAAGTATGTTCACCAAGCTAGTTGAGGATAATAATTTGATGGACTCAAAACTTGTAGAAACAATCGAAAGACATCCTCTTGTTTGTGATTTCTACGAATGGAAAGCCAAGATCAGAATCTTCCATAATGAAGCATCCGCGAAATATGGAGGTGGCAGTTCTACTGATGCAGGCAGCATTGGACCTTTATCCCAATGGTGGTCAGACAACGCAGAACAGATTAACAGGTCATGTCAAATGGTTGAACACTCTGTTAAATCGTTCCACAATTCACCTTTTCCAAACTTTAGCATCGAGATGACACAAGAGTTTGCTGATATCATTAGCAATTTACCACTGAAAGATATCATGAAAACTCCAAAAGACCATTGTCTAAGTCCTCTTCCATTATCAATTGTTCCTATTCACAGTGATGATGTTCCTGTCCGCGCAAGAGAGTTAAGGCCAAGAAATAAGCTCCCTGTACTACGTTCTCCGTTCATTGTACGGGCAATTGATATAACCAAACGTATATCACGTGCTCAGAAGGACCTATCTGAATGGGTTTTCTCAACACAAGGTCACCCAAGGTACATACAAATTTATTCATAACTGATAAAATCAAAATTATTTAAGTTTTAACATTTTATTTTATGCAGTGACGAACTTTTTAGGACTTGTGCTGGTGTAGCTGTTGAACGCTTTCACATGGAAAGCTTTTTCCCCATATGTGAACTTTTTGGACACGTACTAGATTGTGGGAGTCATCTGTTAAATTTCGATGAAGATTTGCGTTCCAATTTATCTCCTCGCATACTATTTGCCACTACCACGTTGACGGTACAATTTTAATAAACATTAGCAATCATTAACTATGTAATAATATAATCTTCTACGTTTGCACATACATGACTAGCACATTTTCACATTACACCTTAAATTTCATCTTCCTATTACACTACTCACAAACATTATTAACAACCTCTGTAATTTCACTATATATCTTCTTCACAGAGTTTGTATCTCGAAAATACTGTGTTGACAGAGGAAGATCGTAAGAAAATTTTTTATGAAAATTTGAGCCTATCCATTGACGATTTTGATGCAACACTACGCGATGTGCAACTAGTATGTTTCTTTACCCACTTTGTATAATTACTCATTGTTTTTAATAATTTATTAGATATTGATGTAACCTTTAGTGAGTGCATTGACAATACCAACACTAAAGTATTTTAAATCATATACATAATATTTGTTTCAGCTATTCATGCCATTCGTTCGTGAATTTCATATTTTCCTTGTCGTACTCGACTTTCAACAACCAGCCTTTTGGATCATTGACAACATCAAAAGAGATGTCGACACATATGGTTTACTACCAGACGTCATTGTAAGATACAAATACAGCTTGAAATTATTATTTTATATAAATCCATTTTTTAACATATAATCCTATATCATTTCCAGCATTCATACATGAGTAAATATCTGCGGTCTGTTCACCATCCAAACGCTAAAGCCTTTTCACATGTCCCAGGACAAATCCCCCAACTTTCTTGGTCAACAGTACACAATAGCACTGACTGTGGTATTTTTACTATGCGTCACATGGAGACGTTCATGGGTGGAAACATTAGAGATTTCAAAACTGGATTCAAGCCAGAGTCGCTTGCACAGGACAACCAATTATCTAGACTACGGGTCATATATCTTTGCAAAATAATAAATTCTGACTACAAACTGCTTAAGGATTCAATCCTTCATCAGGTAGCGGAATTCCAAAAGCTGAATGCAGCTAACCGAAAACAACTACTGAAGGATGCTGCAAACCAGGATACATGACAGGCTGACTGAATTTGGCATGTTGCTCGAACACCTTCCTCATCGTACGTGTTGTCTTCACAAAATCTTCTAATTTATCCTTATCATTCTGAAGACGCTCCAGACAGTACTCCAAGTTACTATATGCTTCGGTTAACAACTTAAAAGTTTCATCTTCCAATTAAGCAAGCCCATTCTTACTAACCAACAAATGGCTAGAAATAATATCCCTTCTCCACCTCCGCAGAATATATTGCTCTGGTATCTCCTAAATGTGATTATTCTTCAGAACTGCAAATACATGTCGACACAAAATACCCATTCGCTTGAAGAGTTCGCATGTACATTTTACATCCTTTTCTGGCAACTTCAGTTCCACCTACGTCAAAATTTTAATACATACTTTAGACACATTTTAAAAAAAAAAATAATTTATTAGTTTATATTCTTATAAACATTACTGATGCTTTTACATTCAGTTGAATTTTAGGAACTAACCTTACACTTTGTCTTCACTTGTCTCCTTTTGTCCAAATGTGTAATCATTACTATCTGTCACCTATTAATATTTTCTACACTATCAATTGAACAATTCCATGCTCCTTTGTATATCTCCTTTCGAATTTTTGCAAAAACTGTATTTGTATACACTTTTGCTGCATGTTGCTCTAATCATGTGCCCATCCCAAATTTATGTCTGGTTCGCTTAGCTTCATTATCAAGACGACGTTGCGTGTTACGTTGTTTTCCAATCGCCGTGTCATAGTTCACCATGAAATACAAAAGGAAATTCCCATGATGCGAGTACTTATTAAAGAATGAATTCAAACTTTCAGACCTGGAAGTTGTTTTCATCAGACCATGCATTGGCATTTCCTTAAAATAAGCTGGTATTCATGACGTCCGCCTACGATACATGTCTTTAAACCATCGTTTATCTTGCAGATTGTGATCCTTTATCAATGACTTCCACGCTGTTTCAAACTCAATGGGATCCATATATATATTCCACACTAGTTTGTTGAAGCGTTTTCTGAAATCCGTGTTTTTCAAAACATCCCCACTAACGTGATACACAACCATTTTAAACTTCAAATTTTACATATATTTAACATATAAATGTACATTCATCAACAAAATTAAAACCTCATTACATATTCACCATATGTAATTCAATTACCCATACAACATACCTTGACCTGTAGTTTTTTTGTTATATGCCATAAGCAAAGTCTATGCTTTGCGTTCAGGAATACAGCCTCAACTGCTTGTAGAATCGCTGGATCCTGGTTTGTTAACACCAATGTTGGTTCTTTTCCATGAGCCTTTAAAAAAGCTTCAAGCAACCAACAATAAGACTCTATTTTCTTATTACTAAGTAGGCCAGCACCAACAGTAACAGATCTTTTGTGATTATCAATAGTTGTAAAAGGTACGAATACCATTCCATACCTAAATAATAATATTTGTCATTAATAATGAAATCGTACAAACATATTAATCCAAAATACACAGCAACCAAAATAACACGCAGCTTACACTTACTTATTTGTTCGAAAGGTAGCGTCAAAAGATATCACATCTCCAAACTCCTTGTAGAATACCTTATCTGTTTCATCAGCCCAGATGATAGCATTTAACACGCTATCGACACATTTATACTCAAAGGAATAATCTGGATAATATGTTTTCCTCTCATTCATTTTATTCACTATTAATTGTGCATCCTTGTTGCCTATAATGTTACCCAACTTTTTCCTAAAATTTTTGTAATCACTCTCTTCGGGACCAACACACTCATATCCACCTTTTAACGCAACACAAAGTTTATGCGCCTTTGTTGCACCCACATTTGTCGTTGCTGCGCGTATAATAAACTCCTTGTCTGAATAATTTAATTTCCTAGCTTTTTTGAATGTCTGCGCTCTTCTGTGGTATAAAGAGGGTGGTTGTGCAGCTCTTGAAACTCTCTAATTTGAAACTCATTTGTTCCAATACTAACACGTTCAAACTTTATCAATGCTTTACAATCCGTTACAATAAAGTTTGAATTCCTATGTTTCCTTCCACCATTATTTGTATCCATTGTATCCAGGCTTCTATTTGGTATTTTCCCAGCGCGATTGCAAACAACATACTTTATCTTTATTATTGATTTGTCATGTCGAAACCTTGTAGTTGTGTTCAACCGAACATCAAACCCCGCATGTTCTGCATATTTTCTATACATATTGATTGCATGTGTCAGTGATTCGAATGTAACCTGATCATCAGGCATAAATTCTTTCGCGACACTAGGTTTCCACAGCTTATTAGATCCACCAGGTGAATATAAAATACTATTGTTGACACTTTCATTTTCATCAGATTCCGTACCTGATCCAAACAGTTCCAATTAAATTACATTTATATAGATGGTAATTTTTGTAAACATTAACCATAGTTCATTACCATCACAATCATCAAGACTTTGACCTGATTCATTGTCACTCTCATTTTCATCAGATGTATCCTCGTAGCCACCTTCACTTTCTTGTGTAGAGTTATCTGTTCCACCACAATAGATATATCAACTATTTGACTTTATTACACTGCCATTTTTGTTATATTACTTATTACTCATTAACAACCACTTTGGAATATAACTATTGTTATATAAATACATTTAACCATTCCATGCAATAAAAAAAACTGTTTTGCCTAATAAATAGTTGCGACCATTAATGATTGTCTCAACATGTATTTTTCAATTATCAAAATACAACTACGAATTACCAACAAATTGAGTTCAATTCAAATAAATTGTATACTGAACCAAAAACATTTATAGATACCCCAGTTCCATCACAACTACATTAAATCAGTTACGATTACAAACAATCATTCACATATAACCAACATTATACAACTTAATTTAATTATAAGTTTACATTTGAAATTAACAGAACTGTTTTGACTAATAAGTAGTTGCGAACATTAATGATTGTCTCATCATATATTCTCCAATCATTCCAACACAACTACGAATAGACTCCAATTCTATTCAAATCAAATCAATTGTATTCAATGATGATTGAAACACTAACATTTATAGATACCCCAGTTCAATCAAAATATTTAAATATGGATACCCAACCAATACATCAATGCATATATAAATGTTGTTGTTTTATTCATTATTGATTGAACTAACAACAATGCACATTCATTAAATCATTTGTGATTACAAACCTGTCCAAAAACTGTTTCACCGTAAAACCACATAATTACTTAAATTAAGCAATGTTTCACATATAACAACGACTATGCAACCTAATGGAATAATAAGTCTAACTTTGAAATAAACAAAACTTTTTCCCTAATAAAAAGTTGCAAACATTATTGATTGTCACCTCATATATTCTTCAATGATTTCAATACAAATACGCATAGACACCAATTGAATTCAAATCAAATCATTTGTATTCAATCATGAATAAAACAACATCATTTATATATACACCAGTTCCATCACAAATACATTAAATCATTTATTATTACAAACATATTCAAACACTTTTTCAACGTAAAACTACATAATTCCATAAATTAAACAATGATTCACATATAACCAAGATTAGAGAAATTATTGGAATAACAAGTCTATATTTGTCACTGGTAAATTATATATGTACATACAACACATTATAATCATAAGTGAATAAGGTCTATGTGTTTATCAACCTATTCGATTGAATTGATTTGTGTTTATCAATTACCTACGTACATACACAACATCATAATCATCACTGAATTTAAATATTTTTCGCATTACACCCTACATATTCATTATTGACTATACAATTCTAGCATTTAATAACCATACAACATGTAACTCAATCACTACTGCTTTTACAGTTGTTATAAACTTAATTCACGTCTGTATCATTCATCAGTATAAATCAATTCAATCGAATTGAACAGTTGTATTTCGTTTTAGCAGAAACTAACAATTCTTTTTCGTTTCACAATATGATTACAGTCAAATAATAATTTTTGAAATCAAATACACGTACCTTCATCTTCATCACCAATATCGATCATTGAATTGAAGTAACCTTCATCACCATAAAAATCCCCACAAACGACGTTCTTCATCGCAGCCGAATTCAATAACCTTATCGTAATCTGATTCCAGACGACTACAACAATATTGTTGTAATGTTTTGGAAATTTCGATTCCACCTCTAATGTCGGCGATATGGACTTCAACAATAACCAATACGGTTTCAATAACTTCTATCCAATTAACGTTCTTTATCGTTCTGGCTTCAATCATGAAAAACGTCTGTTACATGGTTATTTAATACGTTTAGGTTATGTTTATGTTGCCTAATTACTGTTTACGTAACTACACACTTTCCTATTTTTGACCCTTATGAAACGATTGGTCCACATTTGTTCTCGCGTTTCTCAACCTTTTAGTGTTCTCAATATAACTTTTCCCTATATATATATATATATATATATATATATATATATATATATATATATATATATATATATATATATATATATATATATATATATATATATATATAGTGTAGGAATCCAAGAGTCATGGGTAAACCCTAATCATACACTTGGGCTTATTATCCATGATCCATGACTCAAGTGGGCTAACTCTTTATGGATTCATCCATAAACTTAGTCCATCATGTATCATAAGCCCAAACCATATATATAACTAATTTACATAATTAGTCCCTATTAATTAGTCTCTTTTGATCACTAAATTAATTCCAAATTAATTCTTGATCAATACTAATTAAATCATATGATTTCATATTAATATATTAGAACATATAATATATTAATAAATCATAACTAACCTCTTCTCAAAAGTTCATCCTATCAAATTGTCGTGGTGATATGTAACCCAAATGGACCATGTTACTCTCGGGTCAAGTGCATACCAATTATAGTTATGGGCTTAGACACCTAATCCAACAGTCTCCCACTTGGATAAGTCTAATAACTAT